AGTATGGCAATTTATCAATTACTAATTAACTTTTATTTTAAATGAAACCATATTTACTTAATTTTATCCCCCCCTACCGTATTTAGCTACTGCATGAGGTCTTAAGTTTCTAATCGGGAGAAAAATCTGGAGGAAAAAAGAAAAATTTCCTTCGTATTTCTCGACAGATTTGTTGATAATGCTATTCAATATAATCTTGTTGAAAGTGGATATAGGTATTAAAATATTCAAACACAAATTCTTACAGTATGCTGCCCTTTTCAGCCCTTTTTAATTACAATATGTATTTATTTAAATAAAAAAAGACAACACACGTGCTAGTATTAAAAATGATTTTAATTATTTTTAATATTATATCTGCATTAAAGAAATAAAAATTGATAATTGGGAAGAATTCGGGGATTTAGTCATTTTTATTTGGCTATTTTATGTAATAAATAAAAATTTAATTGTTTAAAATATTGAATTAATAACAGAAAAACTTATTGCTTAGGTTGTCTATTCATTTTGAAAGAGTCTTCTCATAAGCATTTTATAAATCTAAAATTAAGTTAACCCTTTCAATTCTTTACGTCAATAAAATCATTAGCAATCAAAAAACTCCTTTTGCTTAGTTCAAGATGTTGCAATAATAGGATAGCTTATGCTTTAGCTCAGGGATGGGCAAACTACGGCCCGCGGGCCAAAACCGGCCCCCCTGAAGATTCTATCCGGCCCGCGGATAGAATTTTAATTTGCCGGTCCGAGGCAAACTAAAAGAAATACATATTTATATATTATTATATATTATATATTCATCTCCTTTTCTACTTCGTTTAAATATTATTTTTTTCTTCTTTCCCAAAAGACTGATGATCTTTTTATTTTCTATATTTTTGTTCTACAAAACATAAATTGACAGAAATAGCAAGCACAGACAGCTTTCAATCGGTAAAGTGTTAAAAGCGAGAAGTTCTTTGTTAGTTATAGCTCTAGATTGGCGCCAACAAGCGTTATCGCTTTCTCGGAGAGCAGACATATGGGAATCTAGTGTAGGTGAGTTAGATTTCACACGTGGCAGACTGCACGCATTTTAAGCTCCAGCCAGCGGCCTTTTCTTTTGGCACGAGGTCTAATATTATTCATTGCGTATGGAAAAATTGCGGACATATAGCATTATTGTGAATAGTGGTGAAATTATTAAAAGTATAGCGTAGCTAGTGCTTGTTTGGGTTATTCGTAAAATATTTAAACCCCGAAATGGCTACTAATAAACGTAAAGTTGATTCAGAGTGCCGTGCTTTTAATGATGAATGGACCTGGAAATATTTTTTACAGTTGTAAAAGATAAACCAGTGTGTCTCATGTGCAATGAAGCTGAAGCAGTCTTCAAGGAATATAACATTTCCCTGTATTTCACACCTAAGCATAAGAATTCCAGTTACGAAGAATATGAAAGCAAACAAAATGCAGAAAGTCTTTGTAAAAAATTATTTGGCTGACAAAATATTTATAAGAAGATTAACAGTATCCAGATCGCAAGATTTCAGTGCCATTCAAACAGAAGTTTATATTTTTACCATACCTTTCAACATAAATTGTGAAGCAGTGTCTTCAGATTTGCAGCTTGAATTAATTGAGTTGCAATCTAACAATCATCTCAAGCAGTTGTTTCTAAATATGCCAAAGTTAGAGTTTTACAAATCATTATCGAACGTAAGTTTCCCAAATTTAATATCTCACGCCCAGAATATCAGTGCTATGTTTGCTTCATCTTATATATGTGAACAAGTGTTTTAAGTATAAACCTTGTAAAAGAATTATTTCAGAAGTAGACAGACTGATGAGCATTTAGCCTCGTGCCTTAGAATCAGTACCTCACTTCGAAGCTCAATATAAGAAACTTTTAAAAATTAAATCGCAATTTCATTCATCTCTTTAACATATTTAAATTGTAATACTTGTATATTGTTTTTAAAATTTTAGAAAAATTTATGTTGGCCCGCCAAACTTTTTTTTATCGATTTGTGTGGCCCGCAACCGAAAAAGTTTGCCCATCCCTGCAGCTGCTTCAAATTTCATTTCTTAATCCTAAAAGAAAATGTGAAAATTAATTCTTACAAGATTTACAGGATATCTGTAAGGAAACTACAAAAACTTCTCGAAAAATTAATAATCAAAATTATTACTCTTTCCAGGTGCAAACTCTTAAATAGAAATAGTAACGTAACCGTAATGTAAGTTTCTTTTCTTCCCGTGTAAAACGCCTTCAGAAATATTTTACGTCTCATATTCAGATTAATACAGTATTTTATATTCTTTCCTAGAAATTGCTGCAAGTCCGCACATCCCAAAAATGAATTGTGACCTTATATTTCCATGCTAAGTGTCAGTGCAAGCGAGGCTGTTGCTAATCAATCTCAGTCACCAGACCGGTCATTCTAATATAATGCTTTCCTAATGAAGCCCTTCGTTATAAACAAAGTTTCAAATAAATATGCAATAGAAAAGAGAGACAGCAAAAGAATAAAGACGCATTACAGTTTTAAATTAGTTTAAAACTTCATGAAATGAATGATAATTACATGTGACCTGAAACCGATTTTGGACATTTTTACTGGCTGTGTACACTTAAAATACTCAATATTCGATTCGTGGACTACTAATCTTTTACAACCTCCAACTGATTAAAATGCGAGATTATTCTGAAGTGGAGCTATCCATTGGTTAGTTACACTTCCCAACCCTTTGTGGCCACTGTTTTTTCAAGGTTGAGTCAGCGAACGCCTTGAACCACGCCGAAATGTCTGTCTGCCACACCAGATGCTCCTAGGTCGCTAGGGGTCAAATTCCCTGAGGGTCGGCAGCTGGCCTGCTCATTGGACCGACGCCGTCACATGATCGCCCCTGCGTCGAGTGACCGTTAGGCTGGGGGGAAAAAATTGCGGAGAGGAAAGAGGTGTGTGCTGCAGGTTTAAAATTATGCAGCGACGTCGAGACGGACCCCCTGTTTTTTTTTTTTTTTTTTTTTTTTTGTATTATTTTTTTTAATAAAATATTTGGCCTATGTGCGTGATGATGTATGTTGATTTATTTTGCACGCTCACCCTGGAATTAGTGCGAGGGCTATCACGCAGACGATGCTGCAGGAAGAAATCTTATCCGTCAGGAAGGGGATTTCCCATAGAATTGTTACATTGCTTTAAATAAATCTTTCCAGTTCCTTACTGTTTATTTTATTTTATTTTTCGCTTTATTTACTTTCTATCGTGATTTCGTAAGGGCTGAAACACGAATGGTGTCTTGGGTTTATATTTTGCTCATATTTTTTAGGTTTGGGCGAAACATTGACTCTTATCAGCAGTGTTTCCGTAAAAGGCCCTGAATCATTCATTTGTTTACTTGAGAGTCATGAAAAACTTTTACTTATATGTGCCACAATCCTAATGAAACTGTATTGTCATTTTACAAATAAAAATGCAAAATATTTACTTACGAAATGCGTGCATTATCTCGTTGAGTGCTTAGAATCCTGTATCCCTCCCACCCCAAAAAAAGCAATAAATTTTCAAGCACGTACTTTAAATACCCGAAATCATGCTTATAAGGTTAATTTCCCTTTTAATTAGTTACATTAACTTAATAACTTTTGGGGCGTGGAATTTATTTAAATTAAGTATTCAATCTAAAGACTAACACATACCACGTTGAGAAGTTATCGCTATTAGCAATTACTTAATTATGAATACAAATCAAAGTAAAATCAAACTAAAATTTATTCAGCTACTTCTTGTGGATTAAAACTAATATTTAAATACATGCTAAAACGATGATTTGTAGTATAAAAAATACTGTGCAACTGAGATTTTATCTACTTACAAACAGGACTGTAATTTCAAAACAAAATACCTTGGTTGTCCGTATTCTCTCTAAACTCACGAAGGACTACCTACTAAATTTTAACTTTTTATAGAATTAACAGGAATTATTGTCTACGACACAATGCTTATGCCAGGAATGATCCAATAGCTGTAGTTAAGATTTAACTCTTAACGAAGAGTTTGATCTGGTTTTGGTTTAATTGATTATGGCAAAATACACAAGGGGAGGGATGCACTGCTTAAGGAGAGGGATGCCTTCGCGGAGGACTTTCTAAGGCTACAACAGGAGGACAACTGAAAAATAAAAATTGCAGAAAAATATTTATTTAATTAAATAGTCTTCAATTTTGTATCTATCTTTTTCTCTCATATATATGTAGTCGTTGACGGTAACTAAATATCTTCTTGCTAAAACTATAAAAATTAACATTGCGATAGTTTTGAAAACAGCTCATGCATAAAAAATGCCATTACGAAAAATTGATTTAAATAAAATACAATTATAAAATTATGTTTTCATCGTAGTAAAGGTAGTTTTCTTATTCTTGGAGCATATTTAATAACGTAGATAAAAGAACTTACAAGACATGTGAAAATGAACTTCGTATTGAAAATTGCTTATGGCTTTATAAGGTATTTCTCCCGCCTTCTTAGCATGCCTTCGTTGTGTAATGGTCTGCACACTGGGCGCGTATTCCAGAGGTCCGTGGTTCCATTCCCGGCGAAGGCGCTGCTCATTTTTTTCATCACTCCTGCTTCCAAAATATAACCTAATATGTCTCTTCAGAGACTCCCGAACTATAAGGGTGGTGGATGATGATTCTCCACACACAGGATTTGCCGTCTGGGTCCCCTAAGCCCTAGTTGCCCTTTAAAAGGAGGAGTATATAAGATATTTCTCCCGCCTTTTTAGCTTGCCTTCGTAGTGTAGTGGTCTGCACGCTGGGCGCGTATTCCAGAGGTCCGTGGTTCGATTCCCTGAGAGGGCGTAGCTCATTTTTCATCACACCTGCTCCAAAATCATACCCTAATGTCTCTACAACTTTTAAAATGATTTATGAATTTTCATGGAACAAAAAACATTTCATTTCCTTACAATAGTAAAATTTACTGCATGATATCTCGTTTATGTCATTGCAGGTATCGGGGGCGGACCACGGCGCAATGTCTGAGCCGGCCGAGCTGGTATCACGCTGCAAAGTATGGCGTACCGTGGTACAAGTACAGAAATGGTAATGAAGTGCGAAAGGACCTCTTGCCTCGGTAGATGCAAGGAATTTCCACCCAAAGCTAATGGACATACGTTTAGTATCAGATACTAGGAGACACCGTCATTCCTCAACATCCAGGACGGAGGAAAATGTGCAAGTGGTTCAGAAATCACAAAGACATGCATCTCGGGAAAGTGATTTAACCCGACACAGAATCCGAACTGGAATCGTACCGGCATGGAGGTTGAGCTCGCCACACAGGGTGGACGTTGCGGCGTGGTTCGCCACTAATAGCTGCATAAATGAGATATCATATAATAAATTCTACCATTGTAAGGAACAAAATATTTTTTGTCTCTTGCGAATTCGTTAACTATTTAAAAAGTAATAAACAATTTTCAATAGGGAGTTAATTCTCGCTCACTCTGTATTTATTAATAGAAATAATTTATTTAGGTATATAAATATTATTTTTAATGAAAAAGGTATTTTGTAATATGTTTTGAAATTAATAGATGACAAACCATACATTTCAGCTATTGCCTCATTGAAAATGCCTGACTGATAAAATTCTGATTAAATGAGCACGTTCTATCTAATGAGACCTTCCAAATAATAACAAAAAGGGTTGTGCCAAGAAAAGGGGGGTTAAGGAAATAGCTAAGGATTAGATGCAAAATTTAATTTTAAAAAATGTGCTGGATCCGTATAGAAAGCTGTTAAGAAAACTGAACAAAAATAAAAATAAAATGACACATAATATGTTCTTAGAAATTCATAAAATATAAAGAGATAAATAAAACTATTAATAAATTAAATTAAGTAATAAAAAAGGAAATGTTAAATTAAAATATCAAAAAAGAAAAAGAGAAAGTGAAGGGGTTCAGATTCGCGTCGCACCAGATGATTTATTATTTAACGCAATCTTTTCTTCTTTTTAACTTTTTTTTTATTAAGCATCGCTTAATATTTCAAAATAGTTCAACTTTAAAATTAAACTTTAGTGTTAAGTTATGCCACACTTTTTTTAAAAATTCGTTATACTATTTCTTTCAAAGCTAACCGGACGAGCCGCCAGCCACCTAAAAGATTTATCATAAAAATATTTAAAAAGTATATGATGATTTTAATGAATCCAGCAAGTGTCATTTTATAAAAATATTTAAAAAGTATATGATGATTTTAATGAATCCAGCAAGTGTCATTTTATAAAAATATTTAATATTTCTATTTGACATTTTATGATTTAACTGCATTTTTATTTTAATCAATCAGATTAGAAAGTAGAAAAAATATTTTTAAGAACTGCGTTTATTACTTTTCATTTGCTTCGTTTGCTACTCAGTAACAGAAAGATTAAATTTGAAAGTTAAATACCTTACGCTTCATGGTGAATGGAGATTGTAAATATTCTGTTTGAGGCAGAGGCAACACATTGCTTTCAAACAGCGGAATTTTCGAATTAAAACTGAAAGATAAATAGCTCACATTTTGCTGAATGGCAGCAGTCTGGCACACGAGATAAAAATGTTTTATTTCGAACAATGTTGCCACTTCTCACTTTCAGTCGTTGAGTATGTTAAGCAAAAACTCGTTAAATTTATTCAAAATATGAAATAGAGGAGAAACAAATTCGAAATTCCCAACCTGTGCTTCGAGATGCCCATTTTCGAGTGAAGAACTACGTGTAATAAAAATTCTGGGAGCTGTCTATTTCCCATAGTGTGAGGAACATACATACATGCAAATTCTTAATTAATTTATTTATTTTTTATTATTTTTTAATTATTATTTTTATTTTTTTTACTTTTTTAATATTACCTTGCGGTAACATTCAGTGGCAACAATCTGAAAAGTGTTTCGAAGAAAAAATAAATTTCGAGAGTAATAGCAACTCTGGAACTAAAAATAAAATTTAAATAAAACAAATGAGAGGGAAAATATTATTAATAAATTTTTAAATGCATCATTAAAATCAGATTAAACGATTTGAAAAGTGAAAAGACGTTTTAAGGTGAACCAACACAAAATCCCAAAACGAAAATAATAGCCCTTCTGGGCTAACGCTCTTTGGAATAAAAATCTGAAAGCTATCATATTTTATATTATGTCCAAAGGGACCTTTTTTTTAACATTTTATGTGTTACCTTTATTTATAAAATATCATGTTCTTCGTACTTAAACCATAAAATTAAATTTAAAACCAATATCACAAAATAATTTAAAAAGAGCATATCTTTAGAATTTCCGATACACAGTCTCGCCGAGCTGGATACAATTTCCCCCAACCCCGTACAGTGTTGCTTGCTTTGAAATCTTTGACTTCGTTAATCAACAATTTGTTAAAGTTTGAAAAAATATAAAATAAATAATAAAACAAATTAAAAATTTGGGCTTCCATATGCCCATATTCGAGTGGAGGGTTATGTTATTCAAAATTTGATATCTCTAATGCAGGGCTCTAATACTCGGTGGGAACACTTTGGAAAGTGAAACGTCGTTTATAGTGAACCAAATTAAAATATCATAAGGAAATTAATAGCTCTTCTACGTAATTTGGCCCACCAGCGGCCGAGCGGTAATGTCGCTGAACACTGGTAGTTCGGTCCGAGGTTCGAATCCCGCGAACGGGCTGGCTGCATGGGTGTTTTCGGGGTTTTCCCCATGTGTAACGTGTATACGAGCCAGTTTCCCTTAGAAAGTCCTCCACGAAGGCATCCCTCCCCTTAGGCAGATAGCCCTCGAGGCTTTGGCGTAATTAAATAACCTAACCTAACCCAATCTACGTAAATTTCCCCTTTGTGTTAATAATCAAACAAATATAATATGAATCAATAAATAGTAATAAAACGTGGTTCTAAGAATTTATGAAAGATATCTATTTTAATCATGTTTTTCGCGATCGGATAAAATTGATTTCTTATTGTGTCTATTCCATCCAAAGATTTTTTGGCTAGATGAGTACAGTCCAAGTTGAGTACAAAATTTTCTGGCAACTCGTCGGCATCCATACATCACGAATTTTCTCGTCCTCATTTGAAACTGTTGCTCAGTTCAGTCTTCATTTGCGCTCTTTTCACGAAGAGAACCTCGTTAAATGAAAATGAGCCAGAGAAAAAAATCAATCATAGTCTGTTATTTTTAAAATAGGGAACTTCAAGGTTATTTTTCACCGTCCGATTTGACTTGTAACCATAGGAACGATAAGCTGCGGAGGAAAGGTTGACTCGCTTAATTTTTTTCCTCACTTCATTTCCGTTTAGCTTGCATTGCTTCATCAAAAGCATGCGAGTGAAGAACAAATGCGAATGAACTACTCTCTCAAATGAAGTGGAGAAAATAAATGCTGTGCGGTGATGACGACATAAGTAACTATCTTAAAGGGGGCTGTCAATGGCCGTGAAGTTCCTATCTTAAAGTTACTCATTTATCTCCACAGTTGCCGTTACCAAAGTTACAACGCAAGTCGCCTGAAGTGCTTTTTATAAGGTAACAGACTACAGTTGTGTTCACTAGCGACAAATAAAAAAAAATCTGATATGGACACCACCTGACTTCCTTGTATAGCCTATTAAGTTATACACATTTTTTGCTACATTTCCTTTAAACTTATTTCTTTGAATTTCGTAAGAAATATATTTTTCATAATTCAGTTCTCAATTCGCGACAAAGCAGAAATGCATAAAAACTCAAAACATCTTCATTAAAAATTGTAAAATACAGATAAACATAAAATACCAAATACAGTTAAAACACTTAAACGACATTTTTACAATTAAAATTAGAGTTTCTACGTAAAAGCAAGCAATTGTGCCAGCGGGCAAGAAGGCAGATTTTTCGGCGTACGAAACTGTAAGTTTTCTATTTTTCCCACTGGTCAAAAAGACATTGCAGGTGCAGAAATTGACGTAATTCACTATTCCACTGGGTTTCAAATGTAAACAAATGGCGGTTCGTTAGGCGTAACTCACCATTTAAAATTTTAAATTGTTGATAATTCTACAACTATTGCATGCAGATTAATTAAAAGCAAAAATGCCTTAACCGGAACATAAAGACTATAGGGCGTTGAAATACTAAAGCTAGCCTTGGAAAAACAATCACGATTGTTTTAAGTATGAGTTAATTCCATGCATGTAGCTTCTGTATTAAGCATTCGGTTAGCAGATAGACCAGTGCTTCATCCAGTTAATAACGAAAAACTTATTCGTTGATTCAAAACTGAATTTATTTCAATCATGATAATAGACACAATTTTTAGACTCCAAGAAAATTGTCTTCGAAAATATAGCTCCCTCCCACCCATCCCCCAAAAGCATTTAAAGAAAAAACAACTTTACGAAATATTGTTGATATAACCAAAATTTCTAGAATTAGCCAAAATTAAAACGCTATACATTTCGAAGGACAGAGGCATGGGTCCTCTTCCTCATAAAGAAAAAAATTGTTGAGGATTATTTTACAGGAAATATGGCTTTTAAATAGACAAGGACAAATAATAAAATAATAATATATAAAGCAACACAGGAAGCTTCAGTTAGTTAACGAAATAGGAATAAAAGAATTAAAGAAAATTAAAAATTAATTTAATCATTTAATATTTCTTGCAGTGTGATGCAGAGGCTTTTATTCCCTGAAGAAGAGGAATTGTTGTCATTTTTCTTCAAAATATGTAGACTAGTCATACGTATAAAATGCAAGTCATTCTAAGGTGAAGTTTGCCTAATTTTAACTGTTAAATTGGCGTAATTCTTAATGCATAAATCTTAAAACTATATTTGAATGCATTTTATGCTTTTTTTCCTGCTGTAGATTTCTATATTTGAGAAATACAAACAAATCTTCCATAAATAAATATCTTGCCCCTCCAGTATCTGTGCCATTTACTTGTTTTTTAGTATAATAATTATTTTATTCTTTTAATAAGTTGATAAAAAATTCAAATGCTTCTATTAAGTAAGCATTTGAAGTAAATGAAATAAATGGTAATCATTTACTTTTCTTTGCGAACCAATTCTATTTTTGGGATAGATTTCCAGGCAGCTGGATTATGCTAACTTTTTTAATTGGAAAATAGGTCTGAATTAATGGAAAAGGCAACAAACAGTATGCAGATGTTAACAAAAACAATGCTAGATCGCAGATGCTTTTCTGTAATCGACGTATTGGGATTTGTTGCGAAATTATTATTTTTTACTTATTTACCTCTGCCGTTATGTTATAATCGTTTTCTTTAATCATTTCTTGTATTACTGGATTCTGCTCGTCGACTGCCTTGAAACATATACAATAACTATGATAACCTGAGTAGATACATTGCAGGGTATCTTATCTTAATTAACCGGTTATTATAATTTCAGTCTTTACTATAACTTCTCCTTTCCGTATTCCTCTCCAGAATGAAAATT